CCCCAAAACCCCAAAACCCCAAAACCCCAGAATAGCGAGGATATATTGAATTTAATTATTTGGCAAAGATGGAAGAGATTCATGCATATTAATGGACTTAAGTAATTATTCTTACATTTTCAAGTTGGGTGTCATTAAAAATATCTTCAGCTTCTTGTTGATCTACTTCACAATATCTGATGTTAATTTTCCTGAGATTTTGTCTTAGATCTTGAGAACTTGCCCGTCCTTCGATCAAGTTTTTGAACTCATCAAGGCTGTGTTTCCAATTACCGAAGGAAAAGTCTCCTGAATCTGCTAAATTTAGATCCTGGATTTGACAATTTGTTAATGCTCTTGAGAAATCAGGAACTTTGGGGATTGAGAGCTTGCAAGTCCACAAATATAATGTATGAACATGCTTGTAAGCTGCTATTAATCTCTTTAACTGGCGAAAGTCAAGTGATAAGCGCATAATTTTAACACTCTTGATGATTTTGGGACTTGTTTTGATTAATATATTAAAATATTTAGAACCTCTGAGTTGCATTTTACTTAAGAAAGAAATAAACAGGTCTTCAACTTTGTTTGGGAACGAGAAGTCTATGAATTTAAAAGCATGCTTCTTTTTATCCTCGACTGAATACAAGAATACCTTTTTAATATCAAAGTGCTTAGGAAGAGTTTAGCTTATGCACAAATTCAACTGAGGAAGAGTAATTAAAATTAAAAGAAAGTTCATCTTTTGGCCACCGGGATCCTTCATATTTTGAATCTAATATCCTAGCAGGAATTTCATGTGAATAGATGTTATAATGAACACTCTGACATTCTTCATAATTTAGCCTCATATCCTTGATCAATATAGACTCCTCTAGACTGTACAATTAGAGATGGACAAAGAGGTTTAGCCTAGTGCTACAATTTGTATGGAAAATTGACACTGTTTCAGAAAAAAAGATGAATGGCATGCTAAGAAAGACTAAATGTATACCCTGCAGTTTAAAAGACAATCAACTCTGATAGCAATAAGGTTTTAGGAAAACAATCAAACAGTGAAAGTGCTGTAAGTTTAGATATTTGCTTGATTACCCGTATTTTTAGACACCAAGCTTCAAGGTTACTGACCATATCGGCAAGGATTTGAAAGATTTTGAAGATACTGTAAGAAAAAGAAGGTATATCTTTCAAACAGGGGTTTATAACTTAAATAAGATATTTTCTCTACTTTAAATTAGATTCTGTTCGAAACACAACAATTCTACATGATTAGAGTTGCGAAAATTGCATTCTAAATATCCCCTGATACCATAAACCTTAAAGTCTCAAGTGCCAATTTTATTAGAGAAACAAACTGTGTTAGCTTTTACCTGATAAATTTTTCTCTATCGTGAGTTGTATCTTCCATTTTATTATTATAAAATTTATTTTAGTTTTCAATATGAAGAAAGAGGAATGGGGTTTTGGGGTTTTGGGGTTTTGGGG